GAGAGAGAGAGAGAGAGAGAGAGAGAGAGAGAGTTTGAAACACAGTGAGCTTTGTTCATACTTTGAGGCATTACGGTAAAAGGGGACGTGTTCAACTTTTAACCCGGAAGACATCCTTCGCCGGGTGTTTATGCAGAATTCGTCCTCACGTGTGCCACATTTCTTCATCTTGTTATGTCTTCTAAGAAAAATAAAAGCAAATCGAAACGATTAAACGAAGGAGACGGCTCCTGTGACTCGAGCAACTTCGACAGTTCCAGTCACGAGGGGAGTAAAAGCAGCAACTCCTTCACTGTCATCGACTTCGTTGAGAAAGGTGCACGCTGGCTTGATATTCAATTAACGTTTTATTGTGACAACACCAAGAATACAGCTACGAGTTGCCTGATTCATTTTACCTTCTGATGATACGACAAAGTCGTCCTCATCGATGCGTTTGGGATAGTTAAGGTGTCGTGCGAATGTCCTGTGCAGAGAAAAATTGCATTAAAACTTGGAAGTGTATCAACATCAACACCACAATTCACGAGCGAGAAGAGTTAATCATCTGTCTAAGTGTTTCATACTTAGACAGCATTCATATGCACGCCACGCGATCGCATCTTAAAACGAAGTGCAACGGATTATTCGGTAATAATTTGTCACCACTGTAAACCTCGTCGTAATTCAAGAAACTGCATGTCATTGTCGGGTGAACTAGAGCCTATTACATCTGACTGGGCGAGAAAGGAAGGGGTCCACAATGGTCGCTCCCGACCCAGTCACAGCACACATCCACTCAAACAACTATATACACTCACATTCCGACCTATAAACAATGAACCAAAAATGTATGTATTCAGAATGTAGGATGAAGCTGCATTACTTAAGATTTTTTAAACTCGGACATCAGAGCTGCAATGCGGACATGATAACTATTAGGACACCCTGCTGTTGTATGGCAATGCTGCCACATGAGTATTTTACAGGGTCTTTGTTTGTGCCCTACGATTGGCTGGCAACCAGTTCAGGGTGTACCCCGCCTACTGCCCGTAGACAGCTGGGATAGGCTCCAGCACGCCCGCGACACACGTGAGGAGAAGTGGATTAGAAAATGGATGGATGGATGGGTCTTTTTTCATCTTTTTGTGTTTCACAGCTGATGACAAAACGCCGAAAAGTTGCAGATGGTCACTTGCACAACTGAGCCTGAATTCGCTGAAGTCAAATGGCGTCAGCATCGGCAGACCTGTTCTCCTCACGAGTGCCACGGGGCGACAGGAGGTAGGCTTACTATCCGGAAGAAGAAAAACCTCGTAGATTAAAATTTATTCTTCTAATACCGGGCTTTCTTCCTTGTAAAATTACATCTTTATTCTTGTTCCATTTTAATGTCATTTGATACAATATTTTGTCCACTTCATTAAATTATGACTTCTGGTAATGTTTGGACCAAAAAAAAAAAAAACCTGAGTTTACGTTTGTAATATTTAGCCCCTTTTGTCTAAAGTTATGACTATTTTTTTGTAATAATTACAAATGTTCTTGTTCAAATCACAGTTTTTCCTATTCATAACATTACAAGTCTTCATCTTGTTCAGTGAGCCGCTATTTTGTGTTTTGTCCATGTTGACAGGTGTGTGTGGGATGGCCTGTGGCTGCGTTCCCCAGTGGGAAAGTCGGCCTCCACAAGGGTGCACAGAGCAACCTGAAAGTGAAATGCGGTGATGCAATCATGCTTCAGCCAGTGACGGGTCCTGTGCTTCAAGCCCAGGAAGTCATTCTCTCTCCGAGGTTGGCCTATTTTCAAGACAAATCCGATACGAGAGGCTATATGACACAATTTTTTTTCACACTTTAAAAAAAAATCTTCCAGGTGTTTTGATAAAGGATATCTGATGTAATCTGACATTATTCAGTCAAAATAGACAAAGGGTAAAGAATATCTGGTTGAAATCACTGACTTTCATTACCATGGCGACAAGGCGGGGCTAAGGTGTTCCCCCTCAGCGAGTGGCCTCTTTGCATCCTGCTCGCAAATTAAAAGCATCTGCTATTCACCACCAGCTCATTCAATCATACACCTAATCCCTTTGAAATTATGGCAAAATTGCATTGTAATGTAAATATTTGTAAATATAATTCATAAACTGTTATTAAAAGCACTAGTTTAAGATTTATTTATTAGTTTTTAATGGAACAAATTGAGCTTTCACAACAGTTGAATTCCTTTCCAAAGTTTCCTTGTTCCGATCATGTCAGAAGTGAGAGACTGCCGCCTGTTGTTCTCTTTGCGCAACTGCAGCGCTCACATTCGGTGCATTGTCATTCTTTCAGATCTGTTGATGAAAAATTAAACACAGACGAGTTCAAGAGCTTCCTGCTCAATTCTTTAGGTAAGTTCCCAGCACATGGAATGGAACAGAATGAGATTGTACTGAAATGAGATTTGTCCCGTAATGGGGGAAATTCTGGTTTTGATGTGACCAATTATCAGCATAAAAATATTTTATTTTTGTAAGAACTTTTTACAACAGTTTTCAGGGCACTTTACAAACAAAACAAATAATATGTATAGCTATTTCATGTGTCACCCCCCCTCCCCACCAGTTGGAAGCGTCATTCTTCCTGGCAACGTTGTGTCCCTCACATATTTTGGCCGGCCATGCAGTCTTTACGTGCAAAGTGTACGAGGAGAAGACGGTGGCACCCTCCAAAGGCCGTCTGTCCCTCTTCCTCCTCCTCCTCCTTCCAATGGCACAGAGGAGTCGTCAGTGCTGGACTCTACCCCCGCCGACCTCTCCCTCCAGCTCAGCCTGCTGGCCTTAGATGACACCAGCAGTCCTCAGGGGACCCCCGCGGCCAGCACACCACACCGACCCGCCGCCTGCCTGCCTGCCCTCTCCCTGGATTCTCCCATTTTGAACCAACTTGACTCCCCTGCTGACTGTGAGGCAAACACTACCGTCTTGGAGGGTTCCTTCAGCACAGAATGTCCTCTACAAACTCCCATAGCGCCCTCTGCTGGTTTGTCGAGTACTGACACCTTCTACCGTCTGGCCTCGACCACCAAGCTTAGTTTTCCAAGCAAAGCCATTCAGGAGGATGTCGAAGCCAAAAGAGCAAAAGTGACATACAGCATGATTGGCGGCCTCAGCAGCCAATTGGATGTCATCAAAGAGACAATAGAGCTGCCTCTCAAACACCCTCAACTCTTCTCCAACTACGGTATGTAATGACAAGTCCAAAATATATTCTGTTCATAAAAACAACTTTCAGGACACTCAACAAATAAAACTAGAAATGTCAGAGGTAAAACATTATTTCGGTTGTTACATGGAGAGAATAACGTTGCAAGAAGAATACATTTGTAAAGTTATGAGGAGCACAAAATTCCCACAGAGTAAGCTTTTTGCATGAAATTGTAACATAATCGCTCTATTATTAGAGTTTCTTTTGTTTTGACTTTTGTTGTTGTAAAACTGCATTTTATTTTGGTCCTAAAATTACAATTTCACAAAATACAGTCGTCCTCGCAATATCACAATTCACTTTTAGCGGCTTTACTACATTGCAGATATATATTTTAGATTTGCTATTTTGTGAGCCATGAGAGGAGTGCCTAAAGGTCGTAAGCGCCATGACAAACAAGTGCACTTGAACTTTTTTTCTCTTTTAACGTTTTTTTGTAAAAGTTTTTGTCATTGTGACTAAGTAATATTGAAACATATATATATTGAATAACAAACACCTGATAAAATGACCTTTTTGTTTGAAAACTACAGCTCCATTATTTTGCTCACTTTTTTTGCTGTAAGATTTAAGCTTTTTTTAAATGATATTTTTCAACTTTTTTCCCCCCCTCCTAAAAATACAACGTATGTAAAATTAAATACGAAAAAGTATGGGTTTTTTTTTGCCTGTAGAATTGTTGTTCTTGTAATTTCATTTTTTTAAAATGAGAGATATTTTTTTTAAATGAGCATTTAGCCTTGCTGAAATTCTAAATGAAGCTTTTGTCTTCACCAGGCATCCCCACTCCGCGAGGAGTTCTTCTGTACGGACCTCCCGGCACGGGAAAGACCATGATCGGACGAGCCATCGCCAACGAGGTGGGCGCTCACATGACTGTGATCAACGGTCCGGAAATCATGAGCAAGTGAGGCTAATGCTAGGCTAATGCCAAACTCCATGTCATTACCATCATACAATCTGAGTGGGGGTTGTAATATTCCTCTTCAGGTTCTATGGCGAAACCGAAGAGAAGCTGAGGCAAATATTCACCGAGGCATCAAAAAGGTAACTTTTTAATGTTGCGTTTAAACGTGAACACGTTGAACTTTTTTTTTTCATTTTTCCCAGTTAGTCCGAATGATTTTGTAAAAGACCTTATCACCGCCCATAGGACTTCAATGAAATTGTCATTGTTTCTCCAAAAAAAAAAAAAAAAAAAAAAAAAAGATGTGGGAGTTCAGGATTATGTTTCCACAGTTTTTTTTAAACTATTTTTTTTGGATATAGTTTATTTCAACTTTCTTCTCATAAAATTGCAGTCTCACTTTTAAAATGACATCATTGTGAGTATCTTTTTCCTAGTTGCAGATTTCCTCATATAATTTATATATAACATACTTCATTCTGTTGATTATGTCCACTATTGTAAATTACAAATTTCTCATGATTACATGTATCCATACATTTAAAACTTTAGTCTCATAATTTTTCAACTTCTTTCTGAGATACTGGTAACA